AAAGATGAGGTCAGGTCAGCCGCAGGGTCAAAGCTGGAGGTGAGATCACAGACTCACAGACCCAAGCTCGTGTCAGCACATGGCCCAGACAAAAATCAGCCCCAAACCTGCCAGCTGCAACTCAGAGCTCAGAAAACAGTGCTCTAAGCTAGAGAGATAACAACTGTGAGAATTAATTCAATTTATTCAGCAAATATTTATCCAAAGCCAACTCTGCTAGGAACTAACCAGGAGAGAAGTTGTGTACTTAAGAAACAAATCACTATACAATGCAAATAACAGGTAACATATAACTCTCTACACATCTTTCCCCATTTAAGAGGAAGAATGTGTATATTTAATATTATTTACTGTGACATATGCCTATAATGCATATTACATCTTTTTTCTATAAATTAGTTTGCCCCCACCACAATTCCTCTCACAGAAACAACAAAATAAATCTGAGTCCTGCTGTCCTTCCCAAGTATTCTGAAGGCATAGTCATGACTAGCTTTCATCACACAAACCACAGACCCCTGGTATTTATGTCTACAATCCTTTTCTCAATGAAGTAGTTTGAAAGGAAATCAAGGGAGCAACCAATTTACCTCATCTTGAAATTGTTTTCCATGGGTTTATCTCAAGTTTATCTGAGAATGTTAGAGATGGAAAGTGGTAAACTGCATACAGAATAATTCTTGAATAACCTGAGTGATTTAGTTCCACAATGCTACACATTCAAAATACAAAACCATTTTAGAAATCCTTTACTTAATTTCACCTATAATTTTATGTTTTTAGTTTTAAAATGGCATAAAAAAAATTGAACAGAAAACATTATTTCTTAAAAATGCTTGAGAAGCACTTTGTAAATGTGCCCAGAACCATTGAACAGTCATTGGTAAGTTTTTAGTTAACACTATGAGAAAAAAAAAAATCTTCAAAACTAAGAAAACAAATTTCACAGTCAAATAATGACACTTTTTCTTAAGATTCTGTGATTTCTACATAAACAAGGAAAAAATAACTCTCAGATCATGGTTTTCAGTGAGACTCTATGACTCTTCTGTGGAGAGACGTAACAAGAATTCAGAGCCCAAGACAGTCCAAATTTACCATTCTGTTCCATGACAAGTTCTAGAAAGGGGCTGACTAGTCTACCTACCTGGTCCTTAAGCCCAACAGCTTTCTTGTACTTTGACATTTTTGTCTTGTATGGTCCTACCCAAAGCACCGTCAAAGCAAACCGTCCTTAGAATGCAGCCCTCCTCATAGCACTATTATGATTGGTGTTTGCTAAGTATATGAAAAACATACTAAATAGTAAACAATAATATAAACCTCATTGCAAAACACATGAGATTCTTCGCAAAGGGAGGAAAAGACCTACAAATAAATTAAGTTTAAAACTCAAAGCTAGCATGTCCCAACCTAAATAAAGAAGTGACAAAGGTCTTTTTAAATAAAATTTTGGTTAAAGATAAATTAATGTGAATTCTATTCAAATTGGTTTAGACCACACATGAATATTAAAAAGTTGTAACAGGGGTCTAGGGAGATAGCTCAGTAAATAAGTGCTTGCCTGGCAAGAGCAGGGCCCTGAGTTCAACCCCTGATACCAAAAAAAAAAAAAAAAGTTATAACATTAATATTATTCATCAAGATATTAAGGGCAAACCATTAAGATAACACTATGCAACGTATTAATTATTGAAACTGTCCTACTAATCAGATTTAAAACTGTCTCATTGCTATTTCTCAATAAACTTATGGAAAAAAAGATACTAAGGGCAAATTAGCTAATTACTCACAGTAAGTAGAGTATAGCTAACTCTATAAATTCTTTGATCATTATTATCTTCAGCACTTGACGCCATTTGATGTCAGATTTTTTCATGCACTATATGCTTGTCATTACTATCTTTTCTCCAGCCGACTCTGAGATCCAGAAGGGCAAGAACTTTATCTTTCTTCTACCGTGTTGCATCCTGGTGTCTGCACCCAAGTCAACATAAAATTGCTGAATAATTAGACAGACGAACAGCTTCCCATCTTGATTTCACTCCACTTCCTTTTCTCCATGTACCACACAACGATCTTTTAAATTCTCTTATCTGGAAAGATCACCTCTTTGAACCTTCTAATATTTCTCCTTTATACCAGGAATTCACAACTTACCAGCTGTCTGATCATCGTTTATCTTTGTCTATATACAAATCTCATTTAAAATTCTTCTAATTCTGTTCTCCTTAACGGAACAGACTTATGGTCCCAATTTTAGTATCCATGTAAATAGTATACCTTTAACAAATGGCTTTTTGATTCATTTATGTCGGTGATTAACCCAGGAGTCTAGAAAAGGTGATAATCTCAACTTTTTATAATTTATCCTTTCCTTCCCAATAACTCAAAATTGGTCATGAAAGTGAAATGGATCTCCCTCTAGTTTGAATTTATCTCTAGAAATTTCAAGTTTATATTCTCATTTTTATAATTAATAATTATAGTTTATCCATTCCACCTCCACTAAGATTTTTGTTGTACAGGAAAAATCTTGACTTTTTGATCCTACCTCCAGTGAAATTTCAGCCCCAGTGTAGAAAGGGGCGAAGTTTCAGTACTATTCCCTTCTTGTTGCTGGTATAGAAGGGTATTTATTTACTTATGCCTCTTTCCTTTCATGCCAAGATGTATCCATTTCCTGCTTTACCAGCCGCATCCTTGGCAAGCTTATTTCTTTGTACCTGTTCTCAGCAATCTGTTTCCAATCCTCCTTTTTGAACCATTCGCTTCCTCTATTTATTTGATTAAATATTCTATCTGTGCAGAAGCCTGGCTTCTTAATGTCTAAGCTACTTCTCTAAGTTCAGCCAACCTTCCTGGCCCTTTCTTCGCACAGCCAGCCCTACATCACTCTAGGCTAAAGAAAGGTATAAAATGGCATTGTAACACAAAATCTGGAGCAAAAATGGCATCTGGCTTTGGAATATATATATATAGCACAGTCCAAGATATCCTTTCTTAATTATGTTTTTGCTTAAACATCAGTAAGGCTTTATGTCATGATAGTGGACCTCACAGTTTTAAATTTTGATTGTTATTTGTTTAAAAGGCCAATAAAGTATCAATGGTAGCTTTTTCTGTGAAGTCTTTTTAACTTGTTCTTTCAATCTCTTGAAAGCTGTCATAAAATCTGTTTCCCCTGATTTATCTCTTTTTCTTAGGATTCAGATCCAAATGAATTTAATATTAATTTACTTCTTCAATCTGAAGTATCTTTTGCTTGAGAACTCTAATCATTTTAAAATATTAAAAGGCCAGTAAAAATTTTAGTCTAGGTAATACACAATGGAACACTCTATTTTTGCCATATAGCTCAGGAAACCTGGGGGTTCTAGGATAAACAACACTGATAATTTTAGCAAATTTATATTTAGTAGGATTTTATAATTTGCTGAAAAGGAACAACTTCAATACTGAACAGTTATATAAATCTGCTTCACCAATATATTAATCCCATATGCTGAAAATTCTATGAAATTTCCTCAGCATAGGCACTTATAGAAAACTGCATCAAAATACACTCACCTCAATCCCGCCTCTCCCAACTCCAACTAACACTGCTGCCTTCTTAAAACTACAGTTACTGTACATTTTTGGGGAGGTGGGCAGAGCTGGGGACTGAACCAGGGTCTGCCTATACCTCCAACCCAAACCTACCTTAAAATCATCTCTCCCCTTCACTTCCACTCCTAACCTTATGCCACAAATAACTTTCCAATGTGTGTGTGTGTGTGTTTTAATCGGTTAAACAGGATCTTCTCTTTTGCCCCTTTCTCAGTTACTAACATTAAAATCTTGGCCAACACTGCCCCCACACCAGAACCTTCAGTTTCACATTGACTTGGTATTTTACAGGTACTCAATTACATTTAACAAGCTGAAGGGAAGGTCGGGGACTTTCTAAGCTGAAGAGGTGCAAAAGTCCATGATTCTGCAGTTCTGTTCCTCACCTCCCTCTATAATTATGCACTAAAACACTCAAGTAAAATATGTACAATTTAAGCCAAATTAGATACTTGGCTTTTGAGTTGCTGACATACCAAAGATTAAAACTAAATAATTTTAAACATCATTGCCACAGTTTACACATTTTTTTAAAAAAAAACACCTAAAAATGTGGGTGTATAGCCCAGGAACCAATTCAATAAAACTCATTTCTAATTTTCTCCACACGTGAACTTTGGTAAATACAAATTATTTTATCTAAAACCCAATTTGGGATGCCATTATTTTGTCCATATCTTTATATAAGATGCTAAGTGTTAACGCCACCCAAATTTTTTTTCAACAGCAACTTTCCACAGTCTTTAAACTCAATACCTTCTGTAATTCTCTTTTAAAAACAGTGACAAAAATGTTCACAGTACCTTGTCACATTTTGACTAAAATACACTAATCCATTAAATTCTTAGTTTCTCACTGGACTCCTTCAGGCTGCTGCCTTCCCAAACACACAAGTGCAGGAGCTATAATTTTGCATTGCCTCCCACACTGTGTCCACCAAGGAAAAGTCAATAATTAAAAAGTAATGAATTCGATTGGTAAGCAGTCTTTTCTTCTTAAAAAAAAAAAAAATTACCTTAACTTTTTTTAAAAAATCTTTTTTTGATGGACGTGAAACAACAAAACTCCTTTGAAGAAACATGGTACTACCAATGAGCCCCAGAGAGGTGTTAGGAAAAAAAGAGGCATTTTTTTTCTGACTGGCTCAGTTCCCCAAAGGTAGCAGGAGCCCTTTCACGGGTGGCTGGGTTAATTTCACACTCATGTGTTTAAGCTCAGTCTCTCTCAGTCTCTCTTTCTCTCAATCTCTCTCAATCTCTCTCTCTCTCTCTCTCTCTCTCTCTCTCTCTCTCTCTCTGTCGTTCTCCCTCCCTCCCTCCGACACTAGCGCGCCAGCGCACGCACGCACGCACACACACACACACGCAAAGAAAGGCAAGAATGAAACATACCTGGTCATTTTCTAAACAGGTTGGATAGGTTTAGTTCACTCGTAAGAGCACATTATTCACTTATAATCTCTTAAAGCAAAGTGGCAGCTAGAGCGCTGGGTAAATAAAAACTTCTGAGAGTTTTTAAAACCTCGCACCTCAGCTCACTTCCCCTTGATTCAAGGGGGTGGCACAGCAAATCCCACAGCGAATGAGATTATGCAACAGGTTTTTCCTCTCCACCTTACTCATCACAGGCGGGCGGAGGTGTGCTTTGTGCACACAATCGAGACACCCGGGGCTTCAACGCGCCAAGGATCTTTGCAGCAGACCTTCGACAAACTTTTTCGCGATTATGCAGTTATTCATTCATTTCAAGATCTGCTTCCTATTTTCTCGGCTTCATTACCGGTTGTCTCCAGGAAATTAAGCTCAGCATCTAAAGCTTAGGTTTTGCGTCGATGTGTGCTCTTCTGCGGTATTTTGTCAGGAAAACGACCCTCGATTCCCAGACTCTCCGTTGTCTCCCTAGGTTTTATTTCCCACGTTTCACGGCCAGTGTAAGTAAAGGAGTCCCTGGCCCACCGGACCCCCCAACGCCACGACTCAGTACCAAAGTTAAGACTTTATTCTTTCTCGGGGCGGGGGGCGAGCGGTTCGGAGGCCGCACGGTCGCCACCCAGGTGGCCTCGCAGCCCGCCCCAAGGAGACTCGGGATAATGGGAGCAGGCAGGCCGGGCCCCTTGGCAGGCGTGTTGTGTAACAGTCGCGCCTGGAAGTGAGCAGCTTCGCCCGCGAAGGCGCCGCGTCCCGGGACGGCCGAGCCCGCCTCCCCCGCTCCGCCCGGCCGGGGCGCGCTGCCCCCCGCGAGGCCTACACCCCG